CTGTAGTCACCTCTATGTTGAATGCAGGCCTCTAAATGTGCATGCATCCGATCGTAGAGGTGTCGAATGTCATCTTGTGGAATAGCATTCCACTTGTAATAGATATCAATATAATAACTCATGTAAACAAACATTCTGTGTAACTTGGGATTTCAATTTCCGGCAGTGTATATATGTACATATAAATTAAAAATACATGTATATAAAAAAAGAAACACAATTGTGCAAAACCAGATTTATTTGACTTTCACACTGCTGGACTTACAGCTATATTATCTATAGAATATAAATTCATAAGAAAAATACCAATTTATTACACCAATTTTGTATCTTGTCTAAACTAGTAATGATATATTAAAATATGAATTTTGATCTTTTATACATTCCAAAAAAACTTGATATGATGACGAACAATATTGCACACATCTTTCTTTGCATTCTCATTCACAATACTTACATGTATCTATATAAAGGGTGTTCTAGAAATCTTAATCAGGAGGGAGGTGATTCCTCATGTAAAATAAAAAAAAAATAAATTTTTTCCTATAAACATTTTCAACGATATTTCAATTAATAAAATAAATACATTATTAAAACTTATTGAATTATTTTACACTACACTAGATTAATGTAAAAACAGATAGTAGTAAACAATCAGATAAACCAAACAGATTATAGCCACTTGACAGTGATTAAGCAAGTGTATCTGTACTTAATGAATATTCAAATTCGATTTTATCAAAACAGAACTCCATATAAAAAATGTTATTATATATTTTTTACTTATTTCAACAAGAGAAATCATCTCTTTCCCAGTTATAAGATTTCCAAAACACCTTGTATATCTGAGATTGTCCATTTGTTGTACATATATGATAAGATTCCATTAGTTGTGTCATGTAAGTCTCTGGAATCTTCAATTGTTCGGAAAACTTTAAAAATGTATTCTCTGATATTTTGTATATTACAAAGAGCTTTTACATGACACAATGGTGAATAAGGAAACACTATGCACATCATCGCACCCTCATTCACAATGCACATGTGCATCATATCGAATACAAATAAATCTAATAATAAAAACTTATTGAATACTTATTGCAACAACTTCCAAGCGATAATTGACAGGCAACAAAGATATAAAAAGATCTGTGTATTGTATTTGAGGCTTGTGTGTATTGATGAACTAAAGTACTTTTCAGCAAGAGATGCAGATGACATTTCATCTTTGCTTATTATTGATAAATGAGACTGTACTCACAGAACACAAATAGTGAACACAAACAGGCCTTCTACAATAAGTGGCAAGTCAGAAGGTCAGAAGTCTTAACCAAGTCGTTCAAGTTGGTTATTGGCCAACTTCACCAATTATGACTTAAGATCACTTAGAACTTCTGACTTGCGGCTTATTGTAGAAGGCCTATAACATTAATATTATGATTTCTTACTCAATAACTCAATAATGTAACTCTTATGCGAACATCTGTTATATTACATTTATATTATTGAAAAATTAGAATATTGATGTAATATTACTGTTAGTTTATATTCTGTAAGCAATCCTAATTGGCATCAAACAATGGTCAATATATCTCCAAATTTAACCCAGAAAAATCTTTCTTTTTTCTTCAATGTGAAGAAAAAAGGAAGAAAGATGAATCAAGCAAGAAATTTAGCTAAAAAGAGCAGCCCTAACATGTTGCCAATAATTTATTATTACTGATTCACAGTGTTATATTGTATCATCTGTATCTTGCTGAAAAGCACCCATCATAAACATTATGGTTCTAATATAACTGTACTTGAATACTATCATCGCAATATCATGCATGTCCGTCCAATTATGAACATAAGCTTTCGTATGATCTAAACGAAAACTGGAGCATGCTCGAAATAACTGTGCGACGTAATATGAATGTAAACGTAGAGCGAATTCGATAGTATCGTCGATCGTTCCATCGTCCAGTTTACAATTTTAGTATGCACAGGCGGTGCTCGTAAATATAATATACCCGTGGACAGTCCCTTCGACGAGAGATTTAACTGGCCCGTCTTTCTCGCCCCTATAATGATGCTCCTCGATAATTCATTGTTGTCTTCGTTCTTGGTCCGTCGTTTAAAAACCGCCAAGTGATTGACTTTTTTTCGAATGTCGCTCATCGTGGAATGAAATACCCATCAATGCGTATCTCCACTACGGATACGATCTCCCTTTTACACGAAAAAAGAACCAAAAAGCACGAAAAAAAATGATCACTGTGTGTGTGACTACTTACGTAAATACAGGTGGGTGGACGACAGGCCGCTTTGTGTAACTGTACTGTGCTGTACTGTGTTGTACTTCCTGCACTTGAAATAAAACAGACATAAATTTTGGAGAGAAAGAAAGGGATATAGAACGTTTTCCATTCAGTGACACAAATTGACATAAATCTCATTTTATCTTGACATTCAATGAATAACAAATCAGAATGAGAGCTTGTGTCATCAAATGGAAAACACCCAAAAATTAGATATAAATTAAATATCATTAAATATAGGGAAAAAAGAGTAAAGATGAAAAATTCAGTCTAAAGAACGAACTAAAGACGTTGAAAAAAGGAAGAATAAATGAAAAAAAAATGGATTTTCTTCAGGCGATATTATCGACCGAACACGACATTACCGACCGAGCGATAACTAAACACGTAGTTCCGCGGCGGTGGTGGTAAACGTAGATGGCGTATTCGCGGTGAAAATAATTTCTACACGCTTCTTACACTAGAGCGGCGCCATACGTAGCGGCCTTTCACGCTTGCTGAACACGACTGCCAAACTCCAAAGTACCAACTAAAGTCGGAACCTGGGCCACTTAAATATTAGAAGAAGAAGACCAACTAAAGTGGAGTCGGTGTCGCTTGCCTGCCGAATTTACCGCTACCGATTGGGGGCACAGAGAGTGAGGAATACGCTCACGGGTCCTAGGTACAGTACACTCGCAGGAGACGACGAATTTCTCGGCCAATCGGTTGACAGGATTTGTACGCGTACATACGTGCAGTGCTTTGGTGTTACGGTCGGCGGTCCCGCTGACGGCGTCCGTTTCACGGAAAAAGGGAAAGCCACGTCGGCGGAGAGGTATCCGTCACGGGAGTCCACGGTGGTGAACGACTGCGAGAGAGTGGTGAGCGATCTGTGGCGATAAGGACGGCGCGAGGGGATTCCTCGCCCGCGTCCCGGTGGACAGCCCGCCTCCTCCCCTCCCCCCTTCCTCTCTTCTCCTGTCCCGACTCTCTCTGTCTGGACCGTATTCGCGGCCACCTCAATCTTTCTCAGTGATCTCCGCGGTGACACGCAAGCCTCCGCTTTCCCTCCTCCTTCGCGAGGGGGCAACTTGGCGGCCGCGTCCGCATCCGCGACCCACACGCCCGGCCCCCGCGCCCGGCGGTCTTCGCATCCGGTCACAGCACAAACACAGAGATTGTGGAGTCCAGGAAGTTAAGAGGACGGCACGAGAGGGAGGACGCGCCGTCCATCACCATGAAGCTCGTCGACCACGTGGTGAGGAGCTTCAAGGTGGCCAAGGTATTCCGCGAGAACACAGATCGGATAAACAGTATTGATTTCTCGCCCAACGGCGACACCTTGATTTCTTGCTCGGAGGATGACCAGATCGTCATATACGACTGTGAGAAGGGTACCCAGGTGCGGACGGTCAACTCCAAGAAGTACGGCGTCGACTTGATACACTTTACCCACGCGAAGAACACCGCGATACACAGCAGCACCAAGGTCGACGACACAATCCGCTATCTCAGCTTACATGACAACAAGTATATACGTTATTTTCCTGGTCACTCGAAAAAGGTAGTGTCACTATGTATCAGTCCTATCGAGGATACTTTCCTCTCTGGTTCCTTAGACAAATCCCTGAGACTGTGGGACCTACGCTCGCCAAATTGTCACGGGGTGATGAATGTCTCAGGACGGCCAGTAGCAGCATATGATCCCGAAGGTCTTATCTTCGCAGCTGGAGTCAATTCAGAAAGTATCAAGCTGTATGATCTGCGTAGCTTTGATAAGGGTCCATTTGTTACCTTCAAGCTGTCGCAGGAAAAAGAGTGTGATTGGACTGGATTGAAGTTCAGCAGAGACGGCAAGACCATCTTAATCTCTACCAACGGTAGTACGATTCGTTTAATTGACGCTTTTCATGGTACACCCTTACAGACTTTTGCTGGACATCTCAACAACAAGGGGATTGCCATAGAGGCTAGTTTTAGTCCGGATTCCCAATTTGTGTTCAGTGGCTCCACAGATGGTAGGGTGCACGTGTGGAACGCGGAGACCGGTTACAAAGTTTGTGTGTTGAATGGTGATCATCCGGCACCGGTGCAGTGTATCCAGTTCAATCCCAAGTACATGATGCTGGCGTCTGCATGTACCAACATGGCTTTCTGGCTACCCACCATCGATGAAAATGCATAAGACTAATTTACAAGAAATGCAGAGCAAGATGTCAGAATCTACTTCATGAAGGAGAGGTAAAGAGAGAAGGAAGAGAAAATAGAAGAGTGCGGGAAAAGAGGCAGTCAGTTGAGAATAACAATCAGAGGATGTTTATAACTTGTTTGATCGAATTTATTTACAACAAAACACATTGCATTTACATTATACGTGCAAAACTGGAATAGCTGTTGTATGGTATACCAGTTCTGAAACGTATCCGAGGGAGCAAACAAGACATCACGAAAGAACTTGAACAGCTGGACCATCGCTTGTACGTTCGTGTTTCGAAAAGGTCCACATGGAATACAACTTTCCATCATCGTCGTTATCGGCATTATTGTCTTCATTATACCAATATACGAAGATCCATGTTTTGTAGACGTTTCGAATGTGTCTTGTATAAGTAGCCTCTTCCTACGTATCTGTGTGTCATCGTTTAATGATACGTGGAACGAATGTTACATGCCGGAAGAGGTTAGCATCTTTGGATTTCGTCCGTTCCCGGGCAGTCAACCGTTTTGCCCGATTGTGTTCGAGAAAATTACTGTAGAATTTCGTCGCGCTAGTTGTTGCGAAAATACACCTGCATATAGAACGATGTACTATCTGGAAGCAATTACCGTCTACGAGAATTTTGTACTGTTATTTCGGTGAAGCTAAGCGTAGAAAACTGCGAACAGCTAGAGAGACAAGATTCGCGTATTCGGGTATACGGCGTCTTTGAATACAGCCTTGTTTAATTGAATGCACCGTGAGGAAACGTTGTACCGACCGAATCGGCCGAAATCGAATCGGTATCATCGGCGATTTGTTTTCGACCCATCGTAAGACGATGCATGTTTTATTATTACACGTCTAACGCTTTACATTTTTGATAACAGGTCACGCGCGCGTTGCCTCAGACATTTGGATGTTAATTTAATTTTATTAAACGCGCAAAGCCGCGTACGAGAGATCTCCGAATACTCATTCAGATCCCATCGACGTTTCAGCAGGCAGCCCGTTGCAAGCAAATTGTAAATCTGATTATGATACATTACGATTAGTCTGATCCGCATGGTCGCATACAGGATAAGGTTCTTAGGCTGATTAAAAATGCAAGGAAATCATTGCGCAAAATGAGAAATTTCTAGTTTCCTTTGTGATATTAATTTTACCTTTGACATTGATAATTTTGTGTATTTTGCAACGTAAGTGATCGGCCCGTAATCTTAAGTTTGTTAGTCATCAGCCTTCAATTCTTATCTCGTCCATTTCACTTTCAACGTACATAGCTCTGGATAATACGTGAGATAACGTGCATTATCTCATGGTTTACGAATAAAGACTTGAGACTACCCAACGTAGCTGGCATTAGATGCGTGATGCATAGAAAATATCTTTCGAAGCTCGTATGAACGCAAAAGATCGTAAAAGGACGTTAAATATCGATCATTTTTGTTCCTGTATACGGCCATGCCCGGTTCTCATACGTATTACGTAGATCATCGGAAACACCTAATTGCGCTTTGTGTACACGCGTACGCACACATCGCGAAGGCGAATTAAAAGTGAATTAAAAACGCCTGATGGATTCCCGATAATCAAAGACGGTGAGACGCAGAAGACCGACGATGTCGCGCGTGAAAAGGCCCCCACCATCGTCGTCGCTTTCGTAGCAAATCACAAAGAAAAGTCAGAGACCTTGGATCTGTTTTTTTCAACCGAACTTTTTGCATAATTCATTTTTCTTTTTTTTTTCTCTCATTAGAAAAAAGAAAAGATGAATAATGCATAATGAATAAGTTAGCTTAAAAAAAAACATTTCTTTTTTTGTGTGTTTTAATAATAAGTCTGTTCGCATTACTTGAAATTCTCAAAAATTTTTAAACTTAAAATGAGATATATATATATACATATATAATATATCTATATATATATTGCTGGGTTTACGCTTCGGTCTTAACCTTAATCCAAACAAGTCATATATTTGGGCATTGAAAAGTGAGAAAGCGAAGATGTTGAGTGCGAGCAACGTGAACAGATCTCGTGGAAGGCGTCGATGATGATGGCAACGGTGATCTGAGATGATCTTCACCGTCGAAGATGAGAATGTACCGGAAGATATCGGCGCGAAAATAACAGAGTGACCGAATATTTGTTATACACGACAAGAAGTCAGTTTGGTGATAAAGAAATAAGTGAAGGAAAACCGGAGAAAAAAGAGAAGGAAGAAAAGAAAACGCGAGTCCTCACGAATAGATAAAGTCCTCTGCGTGACAAGGTGTTGCGTTACGTGTAGTGAAGTAGTATTCATTACGGTGATGCGTACGTAATTGTCGGCAATAAATCGCGATTTACCGTATTACGATACAGTAAGTGGTTCTAATCTACACGCGTGGAACCGGCGGGCCGGGTAAAAAATACATTCGACATTCGTAGAAGGCGCACTTCTTTTCTTCCTCTTTTCTTTTAGATGTAATCGTATCTCATGAACTAATTCGATAATACTTGGCGTTTATGTGCGACACAAGACGGTAGCTCATCTCGTTTCTTGGTGAGCAAGACTTACGAAAATATGCATAAACGTTTTTTGCTCGCCAAGAAACAACCGTGAGAAATTACGTTCGCGGCGTTCCGCCTCCGCGAAGCGAATAACGCGGCGCGAACGAATAGGTGAGCATCGCAGATTTCTTTGCTAAGAAAAAAAAAGACGGAAACAGTAAAACTTAAGATCCATTTTCTGTGGTTAAACTTGTACACTTTTGGAACTTCAAGTGAGATAGGTATACATTTGATATTTGGCGAAAACGAGAAAGAGAATTCTAGTACAATCTAGTGCAGAAGAATAAAAAGCAGACCTTTAGCTATACTTCGCCGCTAGTAAGACGTACGGATGCTACGATCGCACGGAGCCGCGTGGCGAGTCTTGCGTTGCAACTGTAATCCTATTCCGTTCTCTCTCGCGTTCTTTCTCTTTCTTTATCTCTGCTGCAAATCTCAATCTCGCTTTCTGCTTTTTTGTAAAAACATAGTGATCCGAACTTGGCCGTTGCTCGATCTATTCGATCGTCTGCCGCTCCTATCTCCATCCGTTTTGTATGTATATACAGTAGTATCCATTATTTCCTGTAGAATTTTCTAGGCGTCTCCGTTTAACATATATTTCGTGCAAGAACGTGTGGTCAATGATATTTTATTCGATAGCGGGTGTGTACGTGCTTGTATGTATGTACGAGCGAGATTGCTGGTGCGAGTGATTATTACACGTTTGTATCCAATGCGAGTCCGTCTATGTGAGCATGTGATTTGCATGGACGAGAGCTTGCCTCCTGCGCTGTAAAATAGTATTTTTTATAACGGCGACGCGGTGTGCGCGAAAGAATCGTATTGATAGGGCGTCTTACCTGCGAACTCGCACGGGACGAATCTCGCATGCGTTTCCGCAAAGGGGAGAAAAAACATTAATTGCAGAGAGGAGTACAAAGACCCTTGACCCTTCAGCTGCACAGTTTCAACCGACGTGTTCAAGCCCCCCCTCCCCCGCCCGAGATCGTTCACGCTGACGAGAGCACTGCGCGCGAATGCAGAACCTATTTCTTCTATGAATAAATATCACCAGATTTATTTTTTAATTTTTTGTAGAAAATGAGCGCGCGTACAAGAGAGGCGTTTTAAATTATAAATATTTATTGTATTTTTATAATTTAAAGCGCGCGTTTTTAGCAGCACAAACGCCCGAATTAATGTTACGTTGCACATTGAGACCTTACACTGAAATTGTAATTTGCAATTACACGTCACGGTAGTTACGATATACGCTTAATTGTTATTCATATTAATTATTCTTTAAAGAGTGAGACACTACTTATGTAACATTATCTCAGGATTCTGCGTCACTTTATCTCTTCATCTCTTCTTGCGGTTTTTTTTTATAAATATATCACAGACACTGAGCGGCACAAGGGTTGAAGGTCAATCGAATCGCCTCGAATATTACGAAAACGATCTACGTATTTAGAATTAAATGCAATTTAACACACGTATATACTGCCAGCCAACCGAACGAGCGCCCACGGGCCCGCGCCTTCAATCTCGTTCGACGTCGAGAATTTTGAGAGCCCTTAAAACCGAGCGATCGACTGTACTATTACGACTATACTGCTGCTATTATTACTACTCCTACTTTAAGCGTAATAGATTAAACCGCCGGTTCGAAGCCCTACTCGATCGGCGAATCAGTAATCGCACTCAAGAGCAAAAGAAACGAACGCGCACACAATAAATTGTAATATATAATATCCTGGCAAGTTTATCACATCACTTTCACGGACAGGAAGAAGAAAAAACAGAAGTAGAGAGACAATTCTGTAGATCGAATTCATCATCTCTCGAACGTTCTTTTACTATTAAAAAAAAAAGTACGATCAGCTTAAGTACTCATGTCTCGTACAAGATTACCGAGAGGATTACGAAGGAAACTCACATCGTACATGAAGAATCGTGGAACATCCCGTGTACGTGTCCATTCACTGAAGTCAACTCTTGTTCTTACAAGACACCGTTACATTGATGACGTTTTTCTACCGAAAAAATTTGCGAGAGTGTGAGATGAGAAGACGAGGCACTTCGCAAGATACGTAATGTCCGGCGAATATTAGCGGGCTTAGTAAATCTGTAAATGTGATTACGTTCCTCCCCGAACACGCTCGTTAATTCATACGGTTATTTAACATAGGAATTTAGAGTTTGGATTTAATCTAATTGTAAGAGAGATATATATATATATATATATATATATGTATAAATATACACAAGCGAAGCAAGCAAGACTCAAATTTAGAGTGCTGTTTGGCTTAAGTGAACGTGCGTTTTGTGAGAAAGATATTAATGGTTCTCTTACATTTTTGTGAATGTACGCTTTGCGTTCACAAAAACATACATTGTAATAGAAGAGACACGCGACGAAAGATCTTGCGATTCTTCTAAGTTCCTACGTTGAGTCTTCATGCGAATTGCTTTTAACAACAGTCTATTCTTTTAGCTGAACTATTTGCACCGTTCACCTTTCTTTTTTTTTCTTCAATATGAAAAAAAAAAGTAAAATAAACCGTGTAAGAAGTTTAGCTAAAAAGAACAGGCCCAAATAGAACGAGAATAGGAGCGGCCCACGCTCGCTGTTGATTCTGATTCTCGAAGAATTTCATCACATGATCTGTATCGGGCAGGGCTTCGTGCCGATTGCTGTAAGTTGCATGCGTTTTAGGGTACTAGGAACGTATGACAATATAGATCACATCGGCGTTGTAATTGGAGCAATTCGGATGACCCGCGGAACAACATAATGTGTGCGTCTGCTGAAAGCATACCTCAAGTCGAGAAGAATAGCACTTCTTTTAATTGGATTTGCTCTACGGGATTTGCTGAAATTATGGAAACTTGTCATCCTGACTTGATTCGGTATTTAGTTAAAAATTGTATGTGTAACAACAACGGTATGAGAAAAATGTGATGCTCGTCTTTAAAATGTCTTCTATACTGTTTCAAAAAAATTAGTACGTAAAATTAATCTATGGATGTACAGTTGCATCATTTTTGTGTTGAAAAAATCGCAAGAGGATCGATCGAACAGATACTTATCTTAATTAAAGGATCTTTTTAACGATTTTGACAAATTTGACGCATCGCAAACTGAACAGATATTTCATCGCCATTTAATGACGTTTTGTTAATTAATATATAATCGTACCAATTCACACTGTGAGCTATTTCAAGATGGATATATATGTGAATAAAAAGCGATGTAAATTTTCGTCCGCCGACAGTTGGTAGTCACGACATATCAGCGTATTTGTTAAGAAAAAAATTTGTTAGGTTGAATACTTGTCAGGAGAAAGGCTCTCAAGAAGTGTACAAAAGAAAGAAGGAACCTTCTTAGATCCTTCTTGAAAATGAATGTCAATAGTTTAGTATGCAGGCTGGAATGTATTTTTTATTTTTCTGTAAAAACATTTCGATTGAACGTACGAGTTTACTCAGAAAAAAAATAAAACACTTTTTGTACATCTATTTTTTGTCTTTATTTAATCAGTTCGCGGCGTAATTGTATACTTTTGATAACTATTTAAAGCTTGGATAATAACTTACATTTTTGGTAAAAATGTTACAGATAATAACGTCCAAAAACTGCCACAGTTTATTTTATAAATAATTTTATATTTTTTTTATATAACTTGCAAGGAATTGTCTTTTCATATTATACATGAGCGAAATGTACAATGTCAATTCTATTTTATAGCTACTAAAAAAAGAATTTTATTTATCTACCGTTTGTATGTGGTACAAAGTTTTCAACTCGTCTGAAATAACGTCTGGCGCTCCGGACATTAAATCTCGTCCTTCCATCGTTTTCGGGAAAGCTATGACGTTCTTTATACTTTTTTCGTTACGAAGTACGCAGACGAAACGATCCAGTCCTTGAACAAGAAATAATGTTTTGTCTTATTTTAATTCACAGATGTAAATTTGTCATGTGAAAATGTAATACCTATAGCTATTCCACCATGAGGTGGAGCTCCGTATGTCAATGCCTCGAGCATGTGCGACAATTTTGTTTCGTCTATGTTTAACATTCCCAATATTTGCTTCTGTAAATTCGCATCGTGAATTCGAATGGAACCTCCCGCTATTTCCGATCCATTCATCACTAAATCGTAATGTAAGCCTCTCACCTTTGGAAAAAAAGATATGTAAAAAATATGACAAAATTAATTAATCGACTTGAGTCTTATTGACCTTTAAAGGGTCGGTTGTAAGATATTCCATGTCCTCTGGATGAGGTTGCGTAAATGGATGATGCGACGATTCCAGTATTTCTTCGAATGTGAATAACGGAAAGTCCGTGATCCATACAAGTTCAGCCTCGGACGAACGTATTTGTTCGCCTTTGGCTTCTAGTATATTTGTAAATTCGGTACGTAGCTTTCCTAAGAGTTTCAACTAAAATATTATAGTATACAATAATTATTATAGTTGCAGGTGAAGAGAAAAAATTATTAAAGGAGAAAAAAAAAGAATCTTAGACTTTATACTCACTGCATCCATTTGGTGTCCAATTGCCAGCAATACTGCATCCCCTTCCTGTAACTTGCTGTACTGTGATACGTCTTTCGCTACAATTCCTGATTTCAGTTTTAGCTTATCTAACTGTGTCTTCCATGAATTGCTTTCAATTTTTAATTGAACTAGCTTTGTAGTATCAAAATAATCGCTACGAATCTTGGAGAGTTCATCTCTGATAGATTTTGTTAAGTACTTCTACAATATAAAAATTACATTAACATTGGAACACAAATCAAAATAAGTTAAAATGAACACCTACATATTTCTTTGGAAAAACTAAAGCGTACACTTTTTGTTTATCACCTTCCAGCTTCATAGTTTCCTTTAATACTGGAAGATCAAACATATGTGTGAGGTCTTGTATCTAGAAAGCAATTTTGTATCGAAATAGTACCATGTGTGTTTATTCCATGAGGTAAAAAACAAGATTGTATACATTAGTCTCCTTACTTGATATGATATTCTTAAGTCCGGTTTGTCAGTACCATACAACTCCATTGCGTCTTTATAAGTTATAAGCTTAAAAGGTACTTTTATGGAACCCAATTCTTCTGGCCATGAATACATTAATAAATTTTCGATTAAACTCATCACTCCGTCCCGGTCAACAAACGACATTTCAATGTCTAGCTATAATATAGCTGATAATAAAATATATTACTTATATATAAACGCAATGTACAATTACCTGTGTAAACTCTGGCTGTCTATCATGCCTAACAGTTTCGTCTCGATAACATCGAGCAATTTGAAAGTATCTATCGAGGCCACCTACCATGAGAAGCTGCTTGAATTGTTGAGGACTCTGTACTAACGAGTAGAAGTTACCTGGTTGTCTCGTAGGCACTATAAATTCTTGTGCACCCTAAACATAAAAAATTAATGTGTTTTGGTTTTTTAATTTTGATATTGCATAATAAATCAATTTTATATATTGACACAGATTTATGCTAAACTAGATATTAACAAGGCATACCCCTGGTGTACTTTTAAATAATGTTGGCGTCTCAATGTCCACAAAACTGCATTCATGGATCAAGAATTCTCTCATTCTCATTAAAAGGGAGGAACGTATCCTTAAATTCTTTTGCAGTTCAGGGTATCTCAGTGACAGATACCTATATTTCATTTGCTGACTCTCTTTGGCTTTACTGTACTCTCTAATGAACACCGGGGGATTCTGCGATGCTGCATTTAGAACCTCCAGAGACTCAACATATACCTCTATGTCGCCTGTTTTCATTTTCTTATTCTGCTTATCTTCAGGTCTTGATACAACTTTGCCTATTATGCTCAAAACACTTTCAAAAGACGAATTCTGTATAGTTTCTATCAAATCCTTTCTCTGAAATTATTAGAAACTTTTCAATGTTTTATATAACAGCTACCAAATATTAATATATAATGACTGTATCTATATACATCTTCGGGTATAAGTAACTGCGTTGATCCATAGGAATCTCGTAAAGTTATAAATTTCCTCATTCTCTGGAATTCCAGCCAACCGCTTAATCTCACTTCCTCTCCAACATTCTTCAGTGACAGCTCACCACATGTGTGTGTTCTCTGAACATATCTATTGACTGGTGACACTGGTTCCTTTCTCAACGGCACTGATTTGTTAATAACTAAATTGTGCACACAAGCCATTGAAATAGCAGATTGTTCCTTTAGCAGAAACTAAAACGAAATTCATACGTTAAATTTTGAGTAAATATAGATCATTGCTTCAGGTTACAATACCAAAATAAAAATTATTATGTAAAATGTTTAGAAACTTACATTTACTTTAGATAGATTACTTATCAATGGCCATGTATGGTATCTTGTCACGATGACATTTATGCGGCTAAGCACAATTCTACTGCCGGCAAACATTTTATACTGTTGTATTACTAAAGTTCCTTTTTGAAAATTGTTCAACCTTTTAGTAAATTTTACTTTGTTTCATATGCAGTCGTTCACAAAATCATTATCGTTCTTGTATTCTTGGAATCAATGACAAAATTAGACCCATTAGATGCGTTTTTGCACAAATCTGGCTGAAAAAAGCATCTGCCTTGCAAATAGAAATATTATATAAATATAATTATTTTAAATGTCAGACAATATATAATAATTATCTTCTAATTATATAATATAACATTGTAATTTTGGACACATGCACTGACTGATCATTTGGTTCTGCTAAAGTCTGACGAAATCTTTATGTTAACTGTCAAAATCTTTGTGCTAGATATTCGAAAGATCGTTATGTACAATTACAAGTTTTTCACTTCGATCATTCGTGCGAATAATGTCGAGTACCATTATTTGTAAATTCACGCACGTATTATTGAACACTGCGTTATTTATAACATGACATCAATGGACGTTTTTGCCTCTCATTGCCGGGCCGGTACCTATTGGTACCTATTGGAAATAATCGGAATGGATTCCGATCGGAATTATTCAATTATTCCCTAGATTTCTATTGTGTTTTCTGGGGAAAACGAAATAATTC